CATATCAAAATAAAGCACAACTTCCGGAACGGGAAACGAAACGGAAGTTTACTTCTGTTGGGCTTGACTGGAATCAGCTTAGGAGGCTAGGCGAGATCAGTGTTTCGTACCGTTTCTTTAGATTTAGATCAAGTTAACTGACGGCTTTCTATCTATGTTTGCATTTTAGTCTCCTTTGTCGACAATCGTTTGTATTCTTACACACACTATGGAGCAAGTTGTGGAATCTACATACGGATAAAATCCGTGCTGTGGGACATCAATACTTGTCACAGCATTCCCGTCATTCCGTCCATCCATGATCTGATCTCCAATGATTCATGATAATTTCCCAAACAATATTTCAAAAAAAGCTTGAAAAGACGACTCTTAAGCATTTTAATTTAGTAGTATACATATCTAGATCTAGATCTAGTGTTTAATTGTAAGGTATAGGCCTAAGCCTTCAGGACGGGTTTTCAGAAGACTTCACCAAAAGTAAAAAAAAGTAAAGCCAAGGCCCAGGCCAAAGCAAAGGGAGAAACTGTCACGTTTACCCTGCAACTGCAAGTGCAAGAGTAAGTCTTCTTGTTACATGTAGTAGCCTACCCACCAGGCAGGAGTGTACATAGTACTGTAGTACAGCGGAGTTCGCTTTCTGAAATCTCAGTTTGGTGTTTTGATGGGTTGTGTAAATTGTAAATAGTGGTTGCGTAAATGTTCCAGGCTGCTGCTGTTTTCGGTTTCGGGTTTAAAACTGAGTTCAGTTTACTTTTAATAATAAAGTGCAGACTCCACGGTGTTTACATACACTTACACCATATATTTTCCTTATTTATTGAGTTTGAAAATTGTTTTTTCAAATTCACCAGGATTATAATTTTTGACCTGATTGAGTCTCAATCAATGTGTCCTGTGGTTTGTGGAGTGGGTAGACTTGATCTGATGAAACTTTTAGTCTTGTCTTAGACTTGGTAAGATTGAAGAATACCGGACCAGCGGACTGGGGCTACTTTGCCTTTATGTATGTCTCAACCTAACCTTAGGAATTCATGATTTTCCCCAGTTTTTAATGAAAGTGGCTATTCTCACCCGCCCGGAAGTTCTCGCAAGATCTACTCTTCCCCTCTTCTCTCTCTCTCTGT